CAAGGAGAAGACTTCGTAGATCGTCCCGTCATCCCGCTGTTTGAAGAGATAGTTGGGAACAAAGGTAAAGATCTTGTCTCCAAAGCTGCAGTTTGGAGTTTTGGTATTGATAACACCTGTTTCACACAAGAAACAAATCATGTAGATGTTGCTTAATGCAGTAACTCCCGAACACCTTTGCTGTCACATTGTTTTTTGTTTTTAGTAGGTCTTGTTGGTTCCAGTGGTTATCCATGGAAGACACACAGGAGATTTGCTCTTCAGACACTCAGAAACTTTGGCCTGGGCAAGAAAACCCTGGAGCGATCCATCCAGCAGGAGTGCCAGTACCTCACAGAGGCCTACGCCACTCATAAAGGCAAGTGTGTGTGGGTGTGTATATATTTTTTTTTTGTTTTTTGTTAATTTTACACATTATGAACACCGACCCTGAAAGCTGTGAAGCAATAAGAGGACACAAGTGGAGTAGAAACTTTAGGGACTTAAAAAAAAAAATCTAAACCAAGTTTTATATGTAGCTGCATGTTAATTAGAGTTTATAGTTGATTTATATCAGTGACTTTATTTTGAAAGTTACATATTTTTAGTTAATTTGTGGAAGAAAAAACCCCCCCAAAACATCCAGTTCCTTAGAAAATGTAAAAATGACATAGGACCAATAAAAGTCTTTTAATACTGAAATACTAACTTACAGAAAAGTATCTAAATCTTCACATCTAAATATGGAAATCTGGGCCAATGTCGATTTCTGGTATTAATATTGTTGTTATGGCTGAAAACTGATTTCATTACCGTTTCAATACCTTTAAATAAAAAATGGACCGGACTTCTGTCTTCACCACTGATTCTCTGCTTCGGTGAAATTTCCCACAGTCTAACGGTGCATGACTGTCAGTCACATGGTCGATCAAACAAATACCACCTTCAATCTCCTCCAGAAGCAAACAAGATGGAAATAAATACTGGTTGTCAACATAAAACCAGTTTTATTTATCGGACTGTTAATAAATTACTAATATCAACCGACACTGATGTTAGTGCAGATATGTCATGCATCCCTAATGGAAAGGCTGGAGATATGTTACCAGGAATTAATATACGAGTTTCCCTCTCAGATTAATAAGTCACTTTTCCAATATATTCTAAATTACTGAGACGCTCTTGTACCCTAAGAACAAAAGCAGGAGGCATGGCCAGAGGAAGCAGATCTGTGAAAAGCAAGATACGAATAAGAGTGAGAGATAGTATTATCCCCGATTACATAACTAAAAGAAATGAAACACACAGAATAACAAAAAAGTGAAAAAAATGTTTAAAAACAGTGGAAATGTTAGTGAAACTTTTCTCTATCTTACAGGTCAGCCTTTTAATTCCCAGACTTTGGTGAACAAGGCTGTGTCCAATGTTATCTGCTGTTTGGTCTTTGGGAACAGATTTGAGTACGCAGACCAGCAGCAGCAGGCCGTACTACAGAAATTCAATGAAACTGTGCGCTTACAGGGAGAAGTAATGGTGCAGGTGAGAACTCTCAAAAAATAAATAAGTTAAAACAAAATCCTTGAATCAAAATATGTCCATGACAATTTTTTTGTTTTGCAGCGTAGATTTGTGTTGTTCTTATGAAGGTACACCTTGAAATGAAAATGTCTCTGACGCCTAAAAGTATATGTTCACGGTTGCTAGCTTTACAACATAATCCCCTGGCTGATGAAGCGGCTGCCGGGGCCTCATCAGACGCTATTCTCCACAATAAGGGAGATAGCTGAATTTATAGAGATCAAGATCAAGGAGCACAGAGAGAACCTCGACCCGTCATCTCCGAGAGACTACATCGACGCCTTCCTCATAGAGATGGGAGAGGTGAGGACTCCGCTGTGTCTCATTAAGCACATGCGCTCATCTGATTCTTTTTTTTTTTTACTTGCAGAAAGGAGACAAAGACTCCGGTTTTGATTCTGAGAATCTGTGTTTTTGCATTATGGACCTGTTCGGTGCTGGAACTGAAACCACCACCACCACTCTGCACTGGGGGCTGCTGTACATGATCTACTACCCTGACATACAAGGTGTGTGAGGAAGGAAGCGTTCCTATGACTTTACATATTCACCACTCACTAACAGAGCAGTCTGGTGTTGGGTATAAACTGTATAAAATTGGCATTTCAGAAAATCAGTGTAACAATAGATTTTTCTCTGTATGCAGAGCGGGTCCAGGCTGAGATAGACGCTGTGATTGGTCCGTCCAGGCAGCCGTCTATGGCTGACAGAGACAACATGCCTTACACCAACGCTGTCATCCACGAGATACAGAGGATGGGGAACATCATCCCGCTCAATGTGCCCCGAAGAGCAAACAAAGACACCACCTTGGATAAATACACCATCCCAAAGGTACAAAATATGCAAACAACATTAATTATGAGTTTGTAAACGCATCTTAGCATCCAAATCATTTCAGATTACCCTGTACTGACTTCTCTCAACACAATGACTCTGTCTCCTGCTGTCTGAGTGTTACTTAATATTTTCCAGCTTTGATTGTTTTTTTTTTAAGCGATGTAAAAATCTGAAGGTCATCTGTTTATGTCAGCAAACTGCAATTCACACATTTGACCACACGGGAATTTTCAACTTTATACACTGTTGGAGCCTATTGAGAATTAGATGACTTTATTTTTTGAGAAATTGTTATTATTATTATAGATCCAAGGTTTTGTGAATGGCAGATTGATTGTTATTTATTTATTTGTTTTGATCAGACCCTCCTCCCTGTCAGTCGGCCTCCTGCTGTGATTAACAAGCAGAAGCAGCTGCTGTGGTTTATCTGTTTGGTGAAGGAGTGAGGAGGAATTTTCAACCACAAAATTACATTTAGATTTAAACATTAACATTCAACATTTAATTATGACTGGATTTTATTTTTACACCCATTAATCAAAATGACACACAACAAAATAGTGTAGCACATGTGAATGCCTCTCTGAAGTATTTGTACTTTGAAGACACCATGCATGATGGACTAAAAGAACGATACTCAGGGTTTACCGATGCCACCTAAAACAGAGTGAAAGTTATAGACTTCAAGCATTTATTAGCTTCTTTGAGTTACGTTTAGCAAGTGGTGTGCTTTGTTCTAGTCATCATCTATTTGGGAAAATTGTAACATAGCTTTGCAATACATAAAATGGAGAAAATTGCAAATATAAGTTTGATTACAATGCATTGCATGATCTAAAAAAAGCATAAACTGTTGAATAAAAAAAGTATTGAATGTGTGAAATAAATGGATTCTGCAATTCAGAGTGACATCAACAAACTCATTGGCAGACATATAAAACTGGCTTTGGAAACATTTAGGTGTGACTAAAGAGTAGGAGTATAAAGCCTTGTATTTATTGTGTTTTTCCTCAGGGAACCTTGATAATAGCTCCACTTCACTCTGTCCTCCATGACGAGTCCATGTGGGAGACTCCACACTCCTTCAACCCTCAGCACTTCCTGGACCAGGACGGTAAATTTAGGAAGAGAGACGCCTTCATGCCTTTTTCTGCAGGTTAGTCTTTTGTTTAAGCTCTTTTATTCTGCTTGATACAGTTTAACAGAGTTGGCACATCTCCACTTGCAGTCAGCCAGAACCTTTGGTGACTGCTCTTATTTTGAAGAGCAGTAACATAATAAAAGTCCTTATTGATGAAATGTTACATTTTGGTCTTGTAACTCAAAAAAAAAAAAAAAAGAATTAGAAGTTTATTACATGTAATTTTATAATATTGATCAGAGAAAGTGAAATGTGGCTGTAAAATTGTTTTTAAGTTTATGGAATTGAACTTTTAAAAAGGTTTTCTTTCTTCTTTTTTTTAACCCCAATTACAAAGTACATAAAAGAGCAAGAAAAAACAAAATGTAATTAAGGTTTGAAGTTAAAACTGAACAGACAAACTGGCAATGAACCCAAACATTGGTTGGTTAAAGTAGCTTATTTATTAGGAAGCAAATAATTTAAATGACAATAAAAAGGTGAAATGCTGAGAAAAAGATGTAAAAATTACTATTTCAAGTAAAGTTGTTATTTTTAGATTGTACAAAGACAGTATTGATGCGCAGGACCACGGGAGCTGCATCTTATGTAAATGAACAGGTTCAGAAACAGTTTTAGTATTTTACTTTTTCTATGAGACATCATTTACATTGCATCTCAATATTTTTACATCCATCAAGAAATGATTTTTGAAATCTTTTTTTCTGGAAATATGCAATGTCTCATTAATTTTCATTTCTTGGGATAACAATTTTGACTTTTTGTTCAATTTAATTTTAAGTAGGAAACAAATATTACTTTGTGTTCCATAACTAGTAATGACGTGTGGAACTGTGTATCCTCAGGTAAACGTGTGTGTCTCGGGGAGCAGCTGGCCAGGATGGAGCTGTTCCTCTTCTTCACCTCCCTCCTGCAGAGGTTTAAGTTCTCGCCTCCTCCAGGAGAGGAGCCCAGTCTGGAGTGCAAGATGGGAGGAACCCGTTGTCCCAAACCTTACCGCCTCTGTGCCGCGACACGTTAAACCACCAAAACAGACGGCAGTGACTCAAACTATGGCAATCTTGGCGTAAATCAAAAATATGTCTAATGAAATATTTGCTGGTAGAGTAGAGACAATCAATCAAGACATTTAAAGTCTCTGTCATTTGAGTGACTTCAATTTTTTAAATCATCTTGTTTTCAAAGACTTTTAGAAAAGATTTTAACATTGTTGGATTTATCTTAGCTGAAACATACTAGATAACCTGAAACAAGCAATATATCTGCTGTTGTTGTGTGACTGTTGTGTTGTACAAAAATAAATAATCTTGAAATCTTGCGTAAGTCTCAACAAATTGCAGTAAATGTTGCATCCTTCGCATCCTCCGATCAGAACACTTTTCACGTGGTTTTTCATCATTGCAACATTTACATGAATTCTTATGACACTGTTGTTATTATTATTATTGCTCTGTTAGGTTGTTAACTGAAGACAATATTTGTTCAAATTACTGATTGCCCAGTTCATCCTCTGGCTGAACTTACAAGAAAATGTCATGTACTGTTTTGGTCAAGTAAAACTACTCTTGAAATGTTAATTTGGAAAAATAAATATTTTGTTTTTAATACATATTTCTGTGTTATTAATGTAAGCATTATTATTTAACATTTTCATGTTCAAATTCACTCTCATCTGGAGGCAGAGGGAAGATTTTCAAAAGCCATTTTTGTGGGTGTTGATGGTTTATGTACCCTCCACTGCCCTCTACTGGTAAACTTTTGTAAGTTCACATAAAGTTAATCGAAAAATTCTTGCAAACCAGGAAAGAACAAAGCTCTCGCAATTAAAGAACAAATGTTAACCTATTGAAGAAACCAGTTAAAATAATTATAATCTAACCTAATTAGTTTATTAATTTTGTTTTTGAAGGAAATTGTAATCAATTATTCATTAGAAATTGAACATTACATATGCATTTCTTTAACAACACTCAGCCTTTACAAAATGGACAAAAGGAGGTTGAAATTAAAATTTTTCTTTATTGCATCAAACAATATTAGGAAGTGGTGAAATATGTTTCCAAATGAGTTTTAACAGCAACTTTCGTCACCCCATAAATTGGTATTACGAGTGTTTTTTGTGTGTGACTTGTATATAAATATTCTGAGTGATGTGATCATTTTAGCCTGAAAAGTTTCATGTACAGTTATTGCTTCACTGTTAAGTTGGTTTTCACAGTAGTTTAAAATACAGTGTGAAAAGGAGAGTTTTACTTCATTGGCTCCAAAGATAGTTAGTGATTGTGCAGCGTAGTTCCTGGTTCAACACAGCTTACGCCAAGCTGAGTGGTTTTATTTTGAAACTCAGCTGTTTTCACCTATCAAACTTTGACTCAGGACATTTTGTCTTATCTTCCCACTGTGTTTGCTAGTAAACCATTTGGTCCATTTGCTCCTCGTCGGTGTTCGTAGAAGACATGGAGACGATCCTGAGAGTCTTGGGCTTGGAGTGGATAGACCTCAGAGGTTTTCTGATATTTGTCTGTGTTTTTCTGCTGCTGACAGACGTTTTGAAGTACAGAGTGCCGAGTAACTTCCCACCAGGCCCGTGGTCTTTTCCTTTTATTGGGGACCTTCCTCGCATTGATGCATCCAAAATTCATCTGCAGTTTAAAGAGGTAGGGAAAAAAAACAGAATAATGAAATACAGTCAGTGTTGTTGTTTAATAAGTGTGTATGGGGCAGCTCCTCTCTTTAAATACTTGAAAGCACAAATAATTGACTCAAACAGTGAATGAATAAAATACATGTCTTAAAAAAAGGAATATACATAACTGGTTAAGTTAAGATAAAATGCTTTGTTGAACTAAAGATTATTAACTCAGCCACCTTTACGTCCTGTCAGCGTAAAGGTGGCTGACATGGACTCTAGCCTTTTTAATTTTCTCTTGTAGAGCAAAGTTCAACATTTTAATTTAAACATACATTCATAATTTTTACTGTTATTCATCATATTTTTCCTTTGATTCTTTCTCACCTCCCCTAAAGAATATATTTTGTTTGTGAACAATTTTTTATTTTATTTTTTAAGTGAAGTAAGGATAGATATGTGCACATTAGAAAAACAGTATGGAAAATGAATTTATATGCCTCTACATGTGCTTTTATAATTACATAAAAACATAAAGAAAAGAGGAAAGAATCAGAGTCAAATACAAGTTTAAATTATACTGGACAAGAGGAAAGTATTGCAGAAAAAAAACTTAATGAGTTGGTTACTTTAAGACAACAAATGCACTGAAAATATTTATAATTATGAATATTATTTGAAACGTTAGAAAACATGTACTGACAAACTTCCCTCTTCATATTTGACCACATTAAAGACAAAGACGTTGGGATGTGTAATATCGTCTTAAGTCGTCCTTTGGATCTTTTACTTCAGAGGTTTTTACAAAGTTTATTTCTTGTGTTTTGAATGAAATATCTGCTCTGTGTTCAGTTTGCAAGAAAATACGGGAATGTTTTTAGTCTTCGTTTGTTTGGTGGAAGGGTTGTCGTCATCAATGGCTACAAGCTGGTGAGAGAAACTCTCATCGAGCAAGGAGAAAACTTCACCGATCGTCCCAACATCCCGATGTTTGAGGCCGTATCTCAGAACAAAGGTGAGATGCATATTAGTCTGTCAGTTCTGGTGTCAAAAAAATATCAAAACAAACTTTTTGTCGTTGGTTTCAAAAAGGTCTCATAATTTCCAGTGGTAATCAGTGGAAGCAGCAGAGGAGATTTGCTCTTCACACACTCAGAAACTTTGGTCTGGGAAAGAAAACCCTGGAGCGATCCATCCTGCAGGAGTGTCGGTATCTCACTGAGGCTTTTGCTGATCTACAAGGTAAAAATTAACAAATGAAAAATCTTTTTTTTGTCTTCAGGACAAGCATGTCTGAAATATTTACTATATTGGGTTTATTACACCGACTCAGTTGGTTTCACAGCCATCATACAACACATTCACTAAACTACAAATATGGTATGTATGTTAAAAACTATGAAACCATAGCAGCTGGTACACACAAAACACTCTAAAAAAGTATTTGAAAAGGAAAGCAGCAGAGAAAAATAATTCCTAATTGTGCTGTTTCTGCAGCTTTTTAGATCTGCATTCTCATGATAAGCAGGAAGCAGATGATTCAGCTAAAATTGCCTTAGCTTTCTTGAAGCACCTTGTTCCTATTTTTGCAGGGAGTAACGATGTTGTTCAAAAAGGCTTTGGCAATTTTGCTGAGAAATTGATTTTACTTTTCCGTTTCACAGAATTGTAATAAAGCAGCTATAAAACTTTCAGACAAAATAAAATTCTGCATTTGATTTGGAAAACAAGGTCTGCTGGTAGAGAGGAAAGGACCAGCATCCACATTGCTTGATGTCCACTAAAGTCTCCACAGTCAGTGATGGTTTTGGCTTCATTTCATCTGCTGGTGTTGGTCCCACTGGGTTCCTGAAGTCTACAGTCAATGTAGCCGTGTACCAGGAAGTGCTGGAGCACCTGCCCACACTTATATCAGCTGGTTCTTATTTTCATTTCAGGTCAGTCATTTAATGCCCATAAACTGATCAACAACGCGGTCGCCAACATCATCTGCTGCTTGGTCTTTGGGAGTCGATTTGAGTACAACGACAAGCAGTTCAAGGTTATGCTTCAACACTTTGACGATTCACTCCACTTACAAGGAAGTGTGTGGGCACAGGTGAGAACAGCAGACAATTTCCATGAGAAATTTTATGGTAAAACAATAATAAAATATTTACATTCAATACTTTGATATGTAATTGAAGATTGCAGTGTCAGAAAAACTTTGGTGAAACAATCGATTTTTCTCTGTAGCTTTACAACGCATTGCCCTGGCTGATGAAATGGCTGCCTGGACCTCATCAGAGGATTTTCACCATAACTTACGAACTACTAGATTTTATTAAAGTAAGGATCAAGGAACACAGAGAGAACCTGGACCCTTCGTCACCCAGAGACTACATCGACTCCTTCCTCATAGAGATGGGAGAGGTGAGACCTCCCTGCTGTGTTCAAGCTCTTCTCGCCTCACATGACTCATGTGTCCAACAACGTCTGCCTCACGTGTCTCAATCAGAAAGAAGACAAGGATTCTGGTTTTGATATCGACAATTTGAGTTTTTGCACTTTTGACCTGTTTGGTGCTGGAACCGAAACCACCACCACCACTTTACACTGGGGGCTGCTGTACATGCTCTTGAACCCACAGATACAAGGCTGGTTAAAACTATCTTATGACATTATACAGCATGTTGTAATATTCCTCAGTCCAGCACATAGACTCAGATTGTTCTGATCTTGTCTGTGTGCAGAGCGGGTCCAGGCTGAGATAGACGCTGTGATTGGTCCGTCCAGGCAGCCGTCTGTGGCTGACAGAGACAACATGCCTTACACCAACGCTGTCATCCACGAGATACAGAGGATGGGGAACATCGTCCCACTCAATGTGGCCCGGACCACTAGCCAGGACACCACAGTGAACAAATACACCATCCCAAAGGTCCAACCTGCACATACGTTATCATTTAATTTAGATGCTTCTCCTATTTTTACACGTCAAACTTTAATTAGAGGTGCTGGACTACACTGTTAGAGGAGATCTTTGTGAACCCACTTTGAGAATGTTTAGTGGAAACCAATAGGCTAAAATGAAAATTCAAGTAGTGATTTTGACTGATGTAATTTTTTTTAGATTTGTAATAATGTGACTTCTTATCAATCAGCAGTAAATAAAGTATTTGGTGCTATCTGACAAACACCACACTGGTTTTTTCAGGGCACCATCATCCTTGCTATACTGGACTCGGTTTTACATGACGAGTCCATGTGGGAAACTCCGAACACCTTCAATCCTCAGCACTTTCTGGAAAAGGACGGCAAATTCAGGAAGAGAGAAGCATTTCTTCCCTTCTCTGCAGGTTGTCTGGTGAACTTTGTTGATGTCATTTTATGGACAGCTCTTAAAATAAGACATTTGTGTCTGAGAGAACTTAAAAAACCTCAACCAGATGTTCAAAAACTTTGCATGCAGTCACCATGTAAATTCCTGAATTAAGTCTTGATTTTATATCAGCTCAAACCTGCTGCACACAATGACGTATTTTAAGCATTAATTCAATAGAAACAGTCTGTTGTTCATGAAAACTCAAAATTCAGTTTGTTAGAAAATCTAAATGACTAATACAAAAATATTTTTAACACAAAAACATTTTTCTGCACTACACAAAACTCCAATTTATTGATCTGTTCCTCTGTTTATGCATAAGTATAGTTTTCTTGACCTCATCTTCACTGTGTTGTATTTATTTGAATGAATAAATTGTTAGAAATTGGCTCTATTTAGATTGATAAGCTATATAGTGAAATACCACACCACACTTCCAGTTATTGCTGACCCTGGCATTAACTTGCCATTGAAGTACATTTTAAGGCGATCCTGGTCTCTGTGACATCAGATCGAATTAAAAATTGTATAACTCTGCGTTCTCAGGTAAACGTGTGTGTCTTGGGGAGCAGCTGGCCAGGATGGAGTTGTTCCTCTTCTTCACCTCCCTCCTGCAGAGGTTCACATTTTCATCTCCTCCAGGAGAGAAGCCCTGTCTGGAGTACAAACTGGGACTCACTCGTTGTCCCAAACCTTACAGCCTCTGTGCAGTGCCACGTTAACCTGCTATGAGATTACTATAAAATGGATCATAATGGCAGTCAACATGAAAATGAACTTATAAAGTGCAATAAAGATTAAAATGTTTAGAAAATGGCTGTTTTAGGAAAATACCGCAATTTTATTGGACCATACTCATTAAATAATTGTTTCATTTAAACTGCATTTGTCCAAATATTAATTTCAGGTAATCAAACTACTTGAGATATTTCTTGCATGTATTTTCTGTTTCGCAACAGATATATTTTTTTTTTAGATTTTGCATCATTATCTTTTGTCTCTTTTAAAGTTTATTCTCCAGTATTTACAGTACTTTGAACTCATCTTCGAATCAGTGGATGCTATATTAACATTACTATATCATCAAGTCTCATGAATGTTTGGCTGGCGTCTTTAATGGTTCATGAATTCAAAATACAGATTTACAAGGATTTGCAGGTATGACTTAGATCAAAGTTCTTCAAGTTGGGAGGCGCGACCCCCAGTGGCGCTGTGGGAGTACTACAAGAGGGTGTTGAAAACTTTCTGATTGATTTGACATATTCAGTTGTTTGTTTGTTTTTTTTATCCAAAATTGTCTTTAAATACACATGAACATGAATTTCAATATGCTACATATTCAAAAAATGAGCCATTGAATGGGAAGTTTCAGTCATAAATACCAAGAATCATTTCATCATAGTAAAAGTTCTGAATTGTATGAATTTGTTTACAATTGTTTCACTGACAGATCATCACTTTTGTAATCAAACCTTAATAAATAAAATAAAAACGTGATGTAAAGAAGCTGTGTATTATTTCTATTGAATGATTCATATATATACACACGAGCCGAGTGGTTTTATTTTGAAACTCAGCAATGTTTACTAGTGAAACTTTAACCCAGTACAGTGCAACTTATCTGCTTCCTGCTATATTTCCTAAACCATTTGGCCCATTCGGTCCATTTGCTCCTCCTCGGTGTTCATAGAAGACATGGAGACGATCCTGAGAGTCCTGGGCTTGGAGTGGATAGACCTCAGAGGTTTTCTGATATTTGTCTGTGTTTTTCTGCTGCTGACAGATGTTTTAAAGAACAGAGTGCCGAGTAACTTCCCACCAGGCCCGTGGTCTTTTCCTTTCATTGGGGACCTTCCTCGCATCAAGGCGTCCAAAATTCACCTGCAGTTTAAAGAGGTAGGAGAAAACAGACAGCAATAAAGTGCAAATCCGGTCTTTAAATAATGTTGTTTTCCAAAAATAAATCAGTGACTCAAACAATAAATAACAAAATTATATTTCTTTAAAAAGAACAAACGATGCCATAGATTAAGTTCAGATAAAATACTTTATTGAGGACATTTTTGACTGAAGAGTATAAAGGTGGCTGAAATGGACTCTAACCTTTTTTTTTTCTTTAGTAGAGCAAAGTGCTCCATTCTGTCTCCCTCGGCTTTTTGCCTACTTACTTTTTAACGCTCATTCGTCATATTTCCCTGGAGCCTTTATCACTTCTCCTTATAGACATACCTTGAAAAAGTTCACTTTTTTTTTAGAAAACACAGTGATGAAATATTGTACACCTTCATAAACAACATTTGCTAAAACAACAATTCATTATTACGGTTGGAGTAGAAGTAGTGATATAGTGAGAAACTGTTCAAAAGCCTGATAAATGACTGATGTTAATATGATGATTAATATGAGAAGATGCTAACTCTTTTAGAAATATAAATGTAATAATGTGTTGCAACCTTACTGTATAATTTATCTGGATGAATATTTGTCTCATGGTAAAGAGGGAATGTTGTGGAACAGAGAACTACAAGACTCCAAATAAAATAATAATTTAATAAATAAATATAATAAATTATTGAGTTATCATATTGTCACAATATAGGCTTCTACTGATTTTAGCCGCCTCCATTCTCACACTGCTGTCTCTTTTTTCATTTGGCAGCAGCTTGCCTGAGAAAAGGCTCAGATTGGTATTTTTGATCTCAAATGTTAGATAATGTATGAAAACAAACCTTGAGTTTATGCTTGAGCTCCAATGAAGATACATAAATCCAGAGATGTTGTCCTTTGGATTTGTTTCTCAAAGCTTTCTAAAATGTTTATTTTCTGAATTTTGAATGAAGGCAAATATCTGCTCTGTGTTCAGTTTGCAGGGAAGTACGGGAATGTTTTCAGTCTTCGTTTGTTTGGTGGAAGGGTTGTGGTCATCAATGGCTACAAGCTGGTGAAAGAGGCTCTGGTCCAAAAAGGAGAAAACTTCATCGATCGTCCCAACATCCCCTTGTTTGAAGACTTAGTTGGGAATAAAGGTGACATTTGTTATGCTTTGTCTCAAAAGCTACAATTTCCAATCAATCTCAAACCATTTAACTCATTTCACGCAAAGAATGTTTGGCTGTTTTACTAATTGCATTAATTTATCCTTTTAGGGCTTCTGTATTACAGTATTAATTTCATTCAAGTGTCAGCGTGAAACATTTTATTTAATTGGTTTCAAAAAGGTCTTGTAGGTTCCAGTGGGAATCACTGGAAGCAGCAGAGGAGATTTGCTCTTCACACACTCAGAAACTTTGGTCTGGGAAAGAAAACCCTGGAGCGATCCATCCTGCAGGAGTGTCGGTATCTCACTGAGGCTTTTGCTGAGCTACAAGGTGAAAAATATAACATAAATCTTCTTTTATGTTCAGAAAAAGTTTTTGTTAGAAATATTTGCTTTATTAGATTTATTATGGTCAACTTAATAGTATCACATTGGACCCCTTTTATTATTTCCTGAATTGCTTTTACTCCAGGTTAACAGGAGTTTCAAACATCAAAACAAAACTCAGTACATAGTGAATTACTGAACAATGCTGTTGTCGAAAAAGTTTTCTTGTTTTTGCATCAGGTCAGCCATTTAATGTCCAAAACCTAATCAACAACGCTGTGTCCAACATCATCTGCTGCTTGGTCTTTGGGAATCGTTTTGAGTACGATGACAAGCAGTTCAAGGTCATCCTTCAACACTTCAATGAGACGATTTACCTAGAAGGAAGTGTGTGGGCACAGGTGAGGACATGTTTCCAAGAGAAGAAGAAGAGAAGAAGATGGAAACTCTGACTTATCATTCATCACTTGGATATCAAAACCACTTTGATGAAACATTTAATATTTCTCTGTCTCTTCTGTAGCTTTACAACACATTGCCCTGGCTGATGAAATGGCTGCCTGGACCTCATCAGAGGATTTTCACCATAACATACGAACTACTAGATTTTATTAAAGTAAGGATCAAGGAACACAGAGAGAACCTGGACCCTTCATCGCCCAGAGACTACATCGACTCCTTCCTCATAGAGATGGGAGAGGTGAGACCTCCCTGCTGTGTTCAAGCTCTTCTCACCTCACATGACTCATGTGTCCAACAACGTCTGCCTCACGTGTCTCAATCAGAAAGAAGACAAGGATTCTGGTTTTGATATCGACAATTTGAGTTTTTGCACTTTTGACCTGTTTGGTGCTGGAACCGAAACCACCACCACCACTTTACACTGGGGGCTGCTGTACATGCTCTTGAACCCACAGATACAAGGCTGGTTAAAACTATCTTATGACATTATACAGCATGTTGTAATATTCCTCAGTCCAGCACATAGACTCAGATTGTTCTGATCTTGTCTGTGTGCAGAGCGGGTCCAGGCTGAGATAGATGCTGTGATTGGTCCGTCCAGGCAGCCGTCTGTGGCTGACAGAGACAACATGCCTTACACCAACGCTGTCATCCACGAGATACAGAGGATGGGGAACATCATCCCACTCAATGTGTCCCGGACCACTAGCCAGGACACCACAGTGGACAAATACACCATCCCAAAGGTCTAACCTGCACATACGTTATCATTTAATTTAGATTTCGGGTTTGGACCTGATATTCCTACTCATATCTCCTTAGCACAATCCCACTCCAAACACAAACTACTGCTGCACAGCTCTAGAAATGATGCAAAGTTTGACTAAAAAAAAAAATGTACTCGCACTCCCCAACGCCTGTAATTGCAATTGAACTTCAAAATAAGCCAATGTGCTGCCTCAGTTAGCAAAGTCTGTGTAATTGTTGTTTTTACAGTCAATTTCTATTGAAATATTTGCCTTGATTATCAATGTTACCCTCATCAGTGGGTACGCATGACCACTCTGAATCAATAGAGCAGCAATCAAACATGAAACATTCAGTCAATTTCAAAGGCTAAAATGAAAATTCAAGTAGTGATATTGACTGATGTAATTTTTTTTAGATTTGTAATAATGTGACTTCCTATCAATCAGCAGTAAAATAAAGTATTTGGTGCTATCTGACCAACACCACACTGGTTTTTTCAGGGCACCATCATCCTTGCTATGCTGGACTCGGTTTTACATGACGAGTCCATGTGGGAAACTCCGAACACCTTCAATCCTCAGCACTTTCTGGAAAAGGACGGCACATTCAGGAAGAGAGAAGCATTTCTTCCCTTCTCTGCAGGTTGGCTGGTGAACTTTGTTGATGTCATTTTATGGACAGCTCTTAAAATAAGACATTTGTGTCTGAGAGAACTTAAAAAACCTCAACCAAAAACTTACTGAGACCTTTGAATTAAAAGTAGGCCCACGAATTAAACGTGAAACTCCTGCATTTCGGATGTTTAGACTAGCAACATTTCTGAAAATGAGTTTTTCTTCATGAAAACCCATAGTTTAGTTTCTCATACAGCTCCATAGACCAACAAAAAAAGTTTAATGGGTTTGAGTAATATTCTTATTTTCTGAATACTTCTTTGTTTTCGTTGGCGGTATGCCATCACTATTTTACTTGTTGAAATGAATGAAATTAATTGAATTATTGGTGATGTTATTATTTACCGAGCTCCACAACTATTTATACAATATTGTTAACTTGTCCTTTGAGACTTTGAATCTCTATTTGAGGTCAGCGGTGAAATTTAAGTATCAGAAAGTTTTCTTCTCGCTTGTGAAGAGGAGAGAGTCTGATAGTCTTATCTCAGAAGCTAAACCTTGCTTCACAGAATCAGCTGTAAACTCCACGTCTTCTCTAGTTTTCTGCTTCCCATGACTAGAAAACCTATCAGCTGACATAATGAATTTATATTTACTGTATTGTGTCTATTAAATACGTGGAACTGAACTTGAATTCATCTCTTGAGTTGGATCGATTAGATTTTGATCCATTTATCTTGTAAGGAAGCTTGTTATGAATTGGCTCTATTTAAATTTATATGTAAACTGATTTGATATGTAACGTCTCAGTGAAATACCACATCACACTTTACATAATTGCTGCAATTGGCCATTTAAGTTCATTTTAGGCAATCGTGGTCTCTGTGACATCAGATCTGATTAAAAACGTTCTAACTCTGCGTTCCCAGGTAAACGTGTGTGTCTCGGGGAGCAGCTGGCCAGGATGGAGTTGTTCCTCTTCTTCACTTCCCTCCTGCAGAGGTTTAAGTTCTCTGCTCCTCCAGGAGAGAAGCCCAGTCTGGAGTACAAACTGGGAGTAACCCTTTGCCCCAAACCTTACCGCCTCTGTGCAGTCCCACGTTAAACTAGCTGCTGCCTGATGACAAAAAAATGACTCTGCTTATATTTCTCCTTTATTAATGGAATCACTGGATTAGGAAGATGAACCTTTGCGATGCAATAAATATGAAATAATCATGTGAAATTGGCTGATTTTTATATTTGGCTGATTGCTGCAGTAAAAATATCATCATCATTGTCATCATCATCACATTTCAGCAACAAGGCAGTTCAATGTGCTTTAAGTTTTAATTGCTTTACAAAAACAAAAAAAATACCTTCATCAATCATTGAAGGTATTTCAATGGTTGCTCTTGATCTGCATTACTCACTACCTCCACAAGATGGCAGAATAATTTGGACAAAGGTAAAAGCGATCACTCACCACAATAAACGAGCAAGATTGAAACAAATCTTGTCTAAATTTTTCATCGATATTAAACCAAAAATATTCAAATGTTTCAAAGTATTCTGCTCTGATATTTGATCAGGTCTCATCATAAATTATCACCAGAATTTTTATCGATTGGCTTGAGTTGTCTGCTTCTGTGTAAACTCCAAAAGACCTTTACTCACAGAAACGTCCACAGTTCAGTCAACAAACACATACTGGAACGATTCAGGTTGTAATTCCTTTTAAAAACAAGAGACATTAAAAACAAGAGACATTGTCGCATAAATCTTTGTAGAACAATGAAGACAACGTTTGGAAATATTCATTGAGCCATCATGTGGAAACCTTATTTGCATGTGTGGATCTTGTGGCTGAGTGGCATTACAGAGAGGGCTGATTGGTCAATCAAAGCATCTATGATAAAACATGAGCCCGGGTCGTTTGCAAATGACTGACTGAAGATGCAGCTCTCAGGTTTTCATTCCTAGACTGATCAGTGGGGGTCTGGTGACATTAAAAGGTCATACAACTACATCCTGAAATGGAGACAGAAAGGCATTACTCATACACCCACAGCTTGAATGCAAGTGTTGCTGATCAGCAGCCCCCAGTGGTGCACTCAAAAAAATGACTCATTGGATGAACTCAATCCAATTTTGGGCAAATTTTTCATCCAATAAATTAGTTTCTACAAGTTAAGTTTGTTCACTGAAACAGTAAACCATTATTTATTGGTTGAATCTAAAGTATTTAAGTTTGACCAACTCAATTCTACCTGTAGCATCTTCTTGAATTTGTTTTACATTTCTATAAATCCATGAATTTTAAGCAGTAGGATAATATATATTCCCTGACTTAATGCACGTCACTATTTCAATTCCAAAATCAAATATTTGTGATATTATTTTCAGCCTGGGTGACAACATTCTTTGGCTTTTCTTGATCTTCAGCTGCTGCTCAAAACTATGGAAGACAATTTTATTACCTCGGTTTGAGCAGTTGCAGGATGATAATGAGAATCCAGATGTGCAAGATAAAGAACCCACATAATCCCAGCATTTTGTTCACACTTCATAACGGTCATGAAACAAGAACATCTGAGACTTTGCAGAGACCGTCCATGTTGAGGCTGATTGTACATTTCATAAATGATTCTCGTGAAAGGGCATGTTTGGAGACAGGATATGAAGAGGATGTGACAATGTGATGCTGTTGACATTAAGCTGATGGTCAAGACATGGACTTTGTTCATTTTCTCTGAAAAACAAAATCTTGGAGGCAGAAACTTATTGAAAATAAGTTCAAACATTTTCAAATTTCAAAACGTAGTTTAATCAAAACGTAGAACCTGGCTCTCCTGCCATCAAAAAGTTGCCAGCCTTTGGGAATCGAAATGTAAGTCAAACTTTTTAGGTCGTGCACCAACCACTGGTACACCATTTCATGTGTTGATGAGCGTGTAGCTTCAGTCATTACAGCTAAAAGCTCGAGATCAGGCCAGAAACCTGGGTGTAGTGAAGCAATCAGATCTGAACTTTCAGAACCACAAAAAGACAGTCACAAAGTCAGCCTTCTGTCACCTGAAGAGCATGCCCAGCAAAATCTAGAGAAACTCATCCATGACTTTATCTTTGGTCGCATCGATTACTGCAAGTGTTTCCAGAGGTATAAACATAATGGATTAAGAATTTAACATTGACGCTGGACTAAATGTAATGTTTCCTTTGTTGATTCTGTGTCACATGACTTTGTGTTTCTGTATTTTTATGATGTAAAGCACCTTGAAATGCCTTGCTGCTAAAATGTGCTATACAAATAAAATTTGATTGAGGAATGATCCATTACCCTTTGCATCTAAAACCGGAAAGAAAGTGAATCTGAAATTTTCTTTGATTGGAAATGTACAAAATGATGCAATCCAAAATCAAACCAAATTTGCTCAAATCTAAAAGAAACATTTTTCAGATTTCATTTGTAAAGCTTTCAAAAGCTGTATATATTCACAAAAGAATAAAGAGTAAGCTTTAGTTTCATTTTGTCTCTTTTTTCCCCCCCTGTCGACTGAAACTGTTGGTATTTTGTACAGACAGATGCTACCTGTCTGGTCTACCGCCAGATTTATATCTTTCTGCACGTGCAGAACACAGTAAACCACTCATCTGCTGTGCAATCTCAAGCATTACCCCGACTTTCAAAATCATTTACGATATTAAAACTAAAAAATAAATGTTGACATTTGCCATTTTTGCAATGCAATCTGAACCACAAATGAAATCACAATGCTTGGTTTCATTTTCAAACACAAACTACCACATTTTAAATGGCATTATAACAAAAAAAAAAAAAAAAAAAAACGGCGTTTGTTGATTTATTCTTGGACATTTTTTCAAGTTTTTTGTCATTATTTTTAAGTGTTGCAGGCAAACTAAATGCAATCTACTGAGAACTTCAAGCGAGGGATTTTACTCCACGAAGAAGATGCTTGACTTGATGCGCTCTCAGGACAAGACAGGAAGAAGTACGTTGACCTGACCCTGATTAGATCTGCAGAAAAGGAAGTGGCAAACTCTTTCTTGCACCAGAATTACCACACAGCGTGAGAACACTTAATAAACAAAACCAAATGTTCACTTAGCAATCTCAATCTTCAATAGACCTGAAGAAACCAGCTGCTTCCTACTGCTTTTTTCTAAAGTTTAAGTGCTGCTGAATTGAAAGTGTTTCATTTAAAATGTTTCTATTGTCACTGTTTTTTCAATCTTCTCTAGAAGGACCATCATTTTCTTACAAGCCTGTTTCGCTATTTTGTGTTTTTGAATGATTCTGTTGAACCACAATTCAAAAGCGTTCAAGTTTTTTCAGTGGCTTTTTTTTTCAGTTTTGCCGACAGGGGCTGTCCCCTTAATAACTTCATTATTTAATTCAGTTGTGTCGAAGCAGAGGCACATAGAAAAATGACAAGAACTGGAATGAGACAGCTGGGTTCACCCATTTGTCATGTGCTTTATGAGCCTTCGCCCAAAAAATGTGGTCTGCAGAGCATCACTTTTAGAAAAGAAAATCTCCTTAATTTTTAAAACTGTCATTAGATAGTCAGTTTCCTGTGGAACAGGTGACCTGTAAAAAAGTGGAGCTCCTTCTGCTTTCTCTCTCTGCTGCCGTCAGCAGAAACAGACGGCCAGGAAGGGAGAGTTTTTGAAATGGAAAGCATCTTCCTTCCTGTCTTGGAGATTCATCGTTCAGATTTGGCATGAAAGATGAAAGAATCAAATGTAGGGGGAAAAAATCCTGATGATGACAACATTAAAAGCAAAAGCACACTGATCATGAAGATATTAAACCGCAATGTGTCATTTGCTTTTGGAAAATCTCTTGTTTTTTTCCCCTTCAAAACACAAAGGGGAATTCAATCAGTTTTTGACAATTTGGAGGCTATGGACCTCAGAAACAATGGAGGATTTTATATATATGCTTTTTATGCATTAGAAATCTGCTTTAGTGTAATTTCAAAAACATATCTGTGCGAAAATTAATTACCTTTGTCATGGAGCCTAAACTGCTTATTTCATCCATCCATCTGCACCTAGTTTATCCTTGCAGGGTTTCAGATGATCTGGTGCCAAACATCCATAAAAAAATAAACAGGTATTTTGAAGACATATTTATTCTCAGAATCATGTTAGGTCTTTAATTGGTCTTTTATAGACTCCCACTTTTATCTTTTAAATGAATAAGTGAAGAAACAAGACAAAATGACCAAGAAATCAAGTTGTTCCAAAAGAAATTCTGAGCAGAAGTGACAATGAACATTTAAATTAGTAGGAAGGTAAACATCTTGATCCCGAGAGAGGAGAAGAGAGCTTCTCAGTTGGTTCACATCCTCTTTACTTTCCCTGAACCAACCTGACTTTCTGTTTCAAGTCCAGTCAGATGTGGCTTCTTTCTCTCTCTTAACTGGAAATGCCACCAACCGTTGGGCTCACAGCTGCTTTCTGCCCCTGCAGGGAAGTTACTCTGAGGCCTGAAGGCTGTTGGAGGTTTGGATGTTTTCATTCCCTGCGGTCCAGAAAACATTAACACAACTAAAAGCAACACAAATGAATTTTAAATGGCTGGATCAGACACATATGTAGCAGGCTCACTTGGGTCCAAACTTCTGGGTCTTGTGTGTGTCTCTGCCGGTCGACCCACCATTGTGCCTCGCTGACTTTTACCGTCTTTACACTGACTCTGCAATAACAGCAAACAGAAGACGTATTATTGTTTTGCCATATATTTGAAAAGTAAAACCTCTGAAAGAAAAAAAGTAGTTCTAAAACTCTATTAAAGGAGATTGTTCAAGAAAAAAAGCAAGCATAACGAAGAAAGGCTCATAGGGGCAAGAAAGGTTCAGAGTGCAAAGAAAGGTTCAGAGTGCAAAGAAAGGTTCATAGGGCAAAGATAGGTTCTTAGCAGAGATGAGCACCATGTTGCATTTAGTCACCCAACATTTCGCCTTGCAGAAAAAATAAGATTGTACATTTAAACAGTGCTAACTTAACACAGAGAGAGTACAGCTGGATTAAAAAAGGGAAAACAGTACAGGAGTGACAAACAGAGAGAAAACACAATGAAAAACTTTAAACAGAGGAATCAATCTAGCAACAATAAACTAATAAATAAGCCCAGAAAAATGATCAGGAAACAAACTCAACAGGAAAAGCAAAACCCAAACCCTCACGAGAGCAACAGCATCTGAACGATTCTGATGTGACCAAATTTGAAAGAGTGCAAGTGTCATGACTAATTTGCAATTCAGAAAAAGGGGTCAAGGTCACTGAGGAGGGTTGCTGGTGTTTGTCCATGTCGCTGTTGGCCTGTTGTTTGACATGTGAGGACATTTTGAAATCAGGTCGCAGAGGAGAGTCAAGACAGTCAGCCTTTGAGACACAGAACTCATCAGGCAACAACTTATATCTGAAAAGTAGCGCACTCAATATTCAGCAGGGTTTAACATCCTGCTCTTTGAACCCCAGCGCTAATAGCAGCCCACAGTTTTGAGGTGTGTTTTATCTCTACGAGCAGGCGTTTCTGCCCTGATTCTGGGTTTTCCCTGCGAAGCCGTTGAGGTTAGTGACGGAAAAAACTCGTAAAATTCACAAAAACAAGCTTAACTACAAAAAAAAAAAAAAAAAAAAAAAAGAGGCTCAGACAGACACACCAGTTCAGCGACAGGCAACAAGCACCGTCAAAGCGCCGAGTTGGAAAAGAAACACGACATGTGAAGCAAAAAAAAAAAACATGTAAGTATGACTTTACATGTAGAAAACCACCAAAATAATAATGGCAATAGCTTCCAAATAGTTTATATTTTAACATAAATCCCAACTTGGCTCATGCTGATAAACCATTTTAGCATTTACTGTAGGAAACTAGTCAGTCGGTGTTAGCGGGCGGCAGCGGCGGTCAGCGCGTGATTACGAGATTTATCGCCCAATAATAATCCGCTAACAGCAGCAGCTTCACGAGACGCTTTACGTCAGCTCGGCCTTTGTGGTGATGAAAAACAGGCAGCTGAAGTAGGGCGCACAAGTACCGAGACGAATGTTGAAAGTTTCTGCTCTGGCAGCAGACCGCCTAACTGGGTCAATGGCCTCTTTAAGACGTGACTCTCCGGCTGCACAGATCAGTGGAAGGAAGCGCGTGGAGCGCAGCGGGTCGCGTCACACTGATGTTGAGCTCATCACTGGATGGCGGATTGATTAGAGAAACGCTTACAGGACGTAATTCTGGTGAGTTTTATCTTCTTCGGGGGGAAAATAAGTGGGGAGAATGAAGATAATTGGAAATAGTTGCGCTTTCAGGAAGATTTTGATATTACTTATTGATACGTAATTTGTTTGTGGTTATTTAGAATCACAATCCCGTGTTACAGCAGAGTGTAGTTGTGTAATGTGACAGGGTGGATGTAGCACACCTGCTGTGACGCACTTATGAAAACGTTATCAACAGGAAAACCTGCAGTGAGACGGGAGAGACGATAAGCTGCTCTTCCTCCTCATGTTGGAAAGGTTGCTGCCTTATTTCTGGACACGAATGGATGAGGTACAGTCGTTTCCTTCATGTGCTTCAATCTTGAAGATCGAGCCCATGATTTTTAATCATTTTTTCCTCATCACTCCATAGGGTCCTCCGGTTCCAGAGATGAGCTGAGATGAATCTCTTGTTAGCCAGTTGGAGATGCATCATCTTGCTGTTTTGTTTTTCCATCAATGGTGAGTTACTCATAAAGTCTTTATTTAAAAAAAGAAAAGAAAGAAGAATAAACGATCAAGAAGCTGAGTCTTGTTTGTGAATTTTCAAATGGTTCTCTTTTCTTGCGCAGGCTGCCCTCTGCTCCCTGCAGGCTGTGTGGACCTCATTTCCGGCGGCTATGCAACAGCAGAGCCGGCCACCGTCCTGCTCATGGGTTCAAACCTGACCGTGTACTGCCACACCTTCCGATGTGAAAAGGGGTGAGCATATTTGCTTTGAAACTTTGACGAGTGCAGAACATATGTGTGGTTTTTTTGCTGCGGCAAATCTGGCAAGAATGCCGCCCTGGGAGAGAGCCTCTTCCCCCTCATCAACCATCCTGTGCCTCACAAAAATGACTTTATGGATAACCTGGCTGCATATTCAGCTTTTCAGGCTTCTCACAATCAGGGATGGTCTTAGTGGCAAGGAGAAACATTGTAAATTCTTCTTAAAATGTGATCATAGCATCTCTGTTCACTATAGAGCAGTATGGTTTTTGTGTGACCAAGTCTGGATATTTTGAATCTTCAACCACAGATAATCAAATGTGATCAGATTAGATTGTTTTGTGAGTGCAGAGCAGATGCATTAGAGTTAAACTAATCTCACAAATTAGTCCAGAATCGGACACCAAGTTCAGCATCGGTAGAGAGGCTTTAAATCGGACGCCTACTTCAAGCATCATCTCCTGGGCTACACGTCACATACTAGCTTCGCTGTCATCAACCAGGCTTGCTTTGCAATGTTTTCACTGGACTTGCAAACATTCAAAAGGAAATGTGCCACAGTGGGAAAATCCAGGATTAGCAGCAGAACTAAAGCACATGGGTTCACACAAAGATTAAAAAAAAAAGTATTCAAAATATATAAGATCAAATAATAGCATACTGTTATGGACATGATCACAACTTAAACATACAGTGCAGTCATCAAGTACTGTGATCTAAGTATTATGCAGCTGAGTAGAAACATTTTTTAAAGTACATAATGTGTGCGTGTGTGTGTGCTTGTTCAATAAAAAAAGACAACAAACTATTTACAATATAAGAAACTACAAAAAAACATCATGGATGTTTTATTGAGTTTGTCCAACAGAGATTGTGAGGAAGGATCTCCGATAATGCTCCTTTGTGCTCTGCATCCTGCATTGTTTTTCTGAAACGACACCTTCAGACACATAAAACCGCCTTTTACTGTTGACTTTCAGGTCGAAGATGTTCCTGGACCTGAACAAGCAGACAGTGAACCTGTCGAAGAGAGTGAACTGCACCACAACGGCATTCTACCTGCCCCGCGTGTGGAAGCCGCTGTCTAAGGTGGTCTGCAAGATGAAGAGCAGCCAGCTGTCTGCTCTGGAAGTCGTCTGTGGCCTGGATCTACGTCTTGCACGTACGTACGCTTTACTTCAACACGGGACAGGGCGGGTCGGGAGGGAGGTGCAGCAGAGGGGAGAAACTATTTTAATGTTCTCTCAAAGTGCAGCTCCTCTAAAAAAATATATATCACTGATAAATTTATATCATTTAAAAATATGGTATTTTGTAGAGACAATAACAAGCTTTTACTAAATTATACAGGAATCTCTTAAATGTACCTTCAGCTAAATTTTGCTTGTTGAACAATACTAAACCAAGATACGGTTTTGCTGTAACGCACTAAAGCGTATTGAGCCACCAGATTGAGAAGGAATGAGTAATAAAATGTACACATTACCTCATTGTGCCCGCTCAAAAATGAGCATTTTATTAGCTTGTTTACATAAACTCATGTTCAGTACATCAGAATAATATTGGGAAGCTCATATATTTCACTCTGTGTTTCATTTTCAATTCAGAAAACACATTATCTGAAATCATTTCACATTTTCTGGGCAATGGTTTTAAATCAGTCCCCACTGCTTTAGATTTTTCTCACTATTTTGCAACACTATGTTTTTTTTTTCTTTCAGGGCTTTTTTACTCATTTTGTTCTAAAATATTGAACCTGAAAGATCTGAAGATCTGACAGATCTATCATCTTTCTCTCGGTTCTGCTGTGAGTTCATCTATTACCGCTGTGAGAAATCACCTTTTTTATTTCATATTTCACGGGTCAGAGAAAATGACGAAGCAAAATAAAAACCTGTGTAAAATATAAGACCGCTTTAATCTAGTGCAGAGTCGATACAGATGACCTCGTTTTTTCGGAGGTTTCTCCTCCGTTGAAGGGAGTTGTTACTCTCCACTGTTGCCTCATGCTTGCTGAGGAGGAGGGATTGCTGCTAACTCAGTGACTCAAATGCAGACATCTTGGTTTCCCCTAGATAACTTCTCACCTTTTGGCACAATATGATCAGCTAAATTTGAGCGCTGTACGATGACCTGGATAGAACATTTTCGACATTATCTGCTGCTCCATTAAAAGAGAGTTAGAACCTTGAAACACCGCTGGGTGAAGGCTGTCTTGGGTGGCTGCAGTGAAGCCACCACATCCTGTTTGGATTGGGGAATTGTTTTGTGAGTGCAGAGCAGATGCATTAGAGTTAAACTAATATCACAAATTAGTCCCAAGCATTCGCTCGTGCTTCCAGATGATAAGAAACCTTCTCTTGCTTTTTCATATCGCTACAGTTCCTCCTGACAAGCCTGCAAGTATCAGCTGTGAAACAACAAGGAGCTCTGACTTGGTGAACTGCTCACTGGACAAAGGACGGGAAACACACATCGACACGTTCTACAACGTTTCAGTCCACAGGTGTGCAGTTTTGCTTTCTAATTGTTTCTAAGTCAGCATGTGCTTGTGGCCTAATTTTTCTTTCCTTTTTTTATTATCAGGGAGAATGAAAGCGTTTTAAATCTGATCTTGGATGGGGAGGAAATCGGCGTACCACGAGCAATCTTAGAGGAAAACACTAAATACACGCTGACCGTCTCCGCTTACAATCACTTTGGAGCGTCGCGGTCGGACCCGTTCATCTTTTCTCTGGCAGACATAGGTAATGCTTCGACATTCGTTTGATGAGAATGCATTAACCTAGTTGTTCATTTGAATTAATTAGTCAGAATCATCGTAGTTTAAAGGCTGAGTCATATGTCGAGTGGTTAGTTCAATCAGTTCTTTTCTCCTGAGTCTGACTAATTTGACTTTCAGTAAAGTTTCTTGTTATATATGTCACAGGGGCAATTTCCTCTGTCTTTCTGCCCACTGCATCCCTTGTTTGAACTTTAGCAAATTCACTGACAGTAGCTGTTTAATAGATTACAGAGCTGATTCACACATCCGTGCATTTTATCAGGTATATGATACACTGACACAAAGTAGTGCAACATTGTGGAAAGAAAATTATGTATTGGTTTTAAAGCTTTTGAATAAGTAAATATCTGAAAACTGTCGTGTGCGTTGGTATTTTTAATCAAAAATCAATAAATAGAGAGAGTTTGAAGATCAATTCCCAGGTTGGTTTTGGTCTGATCAAGGATCATTGACCTGCTGGAGGGTGAGCCTGCTCCTAGCTTCAAGTCTTCTGCAGTTCTCTCACAGCATTACTTGTCTTTTTAGTATTTCATGTTAACAAAAAAAAAAAAACATTTTGGTCCGTCTTCCTCATATTTGCCATTTCTCCTGTATGGCTGGTGGGAAAACGGCAAACAAGGTTCTTGTTTGCTGTTTATTCACTAATGTTTTCTGACAAACCTCTGAGGCTTTCGTAGAACATTCTGGATTTAAGCTGAGATTAAATCACACTCGGGTCCACTGTATGCTGAACAGGTGGCATGTTGAAGTTTGTGGTTGTAAAAGTTTAAGAGTTGCAAACGCCTTTAGATCTGTATTTATTGTTTTATCACATTTGCCATTGCCTGTTCAGATTGCTTTATTGTTTTATATTTCAGTGATACCAGAAACCCCTCATGTAGTGAAGGTGGAGTTCATGAATGACTCCACGTCAGCTGTGCTGCACTGGAAAACCTTTGAGCATTCGATGCGCCTCAGACCCCAAATCAGGCTGCGAGGAAACAATACCTGGGTAAAGCGGTGTCATGTTGACTTTATAGTTTTTCTTGTTTTAAATCTTCCCATGCAATAGCCTAAAAACATCCCGCTCTCTTTCAGGAGCAGAGAGCGGCAGCAGAGCTGAGCGAGGGTCTGATACGAGTGGAGAACCTAAAGCCTGAGACTGAATATGAGTTCCAAATCAGAACGTGTTCCTACGCATCAGGACAGACCACGAGCTTAAAAACCAGCCAGCGCGTTCTCTGCAGCAAATGGAGCCCGTCTGTGAGGAGGATGAGTCCTAGAAAAGGCAAATATGAGATATTTGGAATATAAAGGAGTCAAAGTGGTTCTTGTGTGACACGTGGCAGAGGAACTTCATGCTAAGTCTGTTCCAACAGGTCCGTCTCAGCAGCTGCATGTATGGAGACGCTTAGGAGACCAGGTCAAACACGGGCTGAGGAACGTTACTGTTTTCTGGAAGGTATTGATATTTTCTGCTAAGAATCTTCCAAACATCCATATAATTAGGCTACATGTTGAATTTTAATTTTTAAGTTATTTTTTGACTGTTAAATTCATTTTTAAATTTTCCTCCTGTTATAGCTGGGAAGGTGGAAGTATGTGTTTCTCATGCATTAGCAATTTGACCTCCATGTTTGTTCATGGTCCAGATGCAAGGCAGTGCACCCAGGTGTTACTCTGACATTTCTCGACTTGTACATGTGTGTTACCTATTAGCCTTCTAACATTATATTTAATTATTCCAGACATTATTTTGTCAGATTTGGAAACAAACTGTTTTCTTTCAGAGATTGCAACTTGGTGTTTGAAAAAAAAAAATTCTTTTTGTGATTCCCTATCTGTGATGCAAAAAGTTACACAATCATTCAGTTTGTATGTCAAATATTGCTACAGTTGGGTTTTGGACAGCATGTAAGCACTATAAGAAAAAATTAAATAGATGAAAACCTCAAAATAAATAGGTATTTAAACGATCTCGTTCCCAGCCTCCGCCTGTGGGGGATTACAGCGGTGAATTGCTGCGGTACAGCATCGTCCTGGATGATGGCAGAGAGGAGATCTGTCCTGCCGCTTCCAGCCAGTGTTCAGTTCAGGCGCCAGCGGCAGTTCTTGGACTGAACGTCAGTGCAGTGACCTCCAGTGGGACGTCTCCACCAGCTTTTGTAGATCTCAGACATGCAGGTGCAATAAAGTTACACAAAAGGGACTGAAATGTTTCTAGGATTTTACATTTCTGTGGTAATCACTAAACTCTCTTCATCCTTTAGGTGCTACTAAATCTTTCGTTGTAAAGTTGGCTCTTGGTGCAGACGACAGCGCTGCTCGTGTCTCCTGGTCTGGGCCGGTTCAGAAAGGTCTTCTGTACTTTGTAGTAGAATGGGAAAGCATGCATGCAGCAGGTCTGCAGTGGAAAAAGGTGCTGAAAGACATAAAAGACACAACAATCACAGGTATAGTCATTCAATCGCACATGTGCATTTATTTATTGCTAACATAAGACAAATTTCACATTTTTATAAACTTTCTGGATATGCTTCTTCACCTCCAAATACCTTAAAATAGGTAAATAAAGTGAAAATAAGTTGATAAGGAAATATTCCTGTAAAATCCCAAAGTCCTTCACCAGTTGCTCTTGTGGGGACATTTAAAAAAATATATATTTTCTTCTTACCTTAACTGCTCTTGTATTTGAAATTAATTTTATATTGACCATTAAAAATAAACTCGGAGGATAATGTGCGACTAAAATGAGGAGGCTGCCTTTTTGACTCAACATCAACTTCAGCGCAAACAACTTCTTCTCTGAAGTAAGACAGAAAAATATAAGCAAGGGTAAACACCTGAAGCAAATACTTTTAGATTAATGATCAAATATAATAATGAGGGCTGCACAGCGGGGCAGTTGGCAACACTGTTGCCCTGCAGCAAGAAGGTCCTGGGTTCAAATTTGTGGTGATTTTCTTTTATGAAAATTCAAATAATTTGTTCAAATTACATTAATAGTTGAAAATACAACTAATCTAATCAACAAAGATTAGAATGAGAAAAGAATTTGTTGACAAGACAACACTTATATATATATATATATATATATATATATATATATATTATATATATATATATATATATATATATATATATATATATATATATATATAAAATTCCCTTCTCACCCACCGCGGGTGGTTCTTATCCTCTGAGCTCGGGTCCTCTACCAGAGGCCTGGGAGCTTGAGGGTTCTGCGCAGTATCTTGGCTGTGCCAAGGACTGCACATTTCTGGACTGAGATGTCTGATGTTGTTCCTGGGATCTGTTGTAGCCACTGCTCCAGTTTGGGGGTTACTGCCCCAAGGGCCCCGATGACCACAGGCACCACTGTGGTCTTCACCTTCCAGGCCCTCTCCAGTTCTTCCCTGAGGCCCTGGTATTTCTCCAGTTTCTCGTGCTCCTTTTTCCTGATGTTGAAATCGCTTGGTATTGCTACATCTACCACAACGGAGTGGGAGTTGTTTATCCACTATGACAATGTCTGGTTGGTTCGCCATTACCATTTTGTCTGTCTGGATCTGGAAGTCCCACAGTATCTTAGCTCTGGCGTTCTCCACCACCTTTGGGGGTGTTTCCACTTTGATCTCGGGGTTTCCAGTCCATATTCTGCACAGATGTTTCTGTACACTATGCCTGCCACTTGGTTATGTCGCTCCATGTACGCTTTCCCTGCCAGTATCTTGCACCCTGCTGTGATGTGCTGGACTGTCTCAGGGGCCTCCTTGCACAACCTACACCTTGGGTCTTGTCTGGTGTGGTAGATCTGGGCCTCTATTGCTCTGGTGTTTAGGGCCTGTTCCTGGGCGGCCAGGATGAGGGCCTCTGTGCTGTCCTTGAGTCCAGCTTTTTCCAGCCATTGGTAGGATTTACTGATATCAGCCACTTGGATTATTTGCTGGTGGTACATCCATGTAGGGGCTTGTCCTCCCATGATGGTATCTCTGGCACCTCAACCTCCGTTCCCTGTTGTCTGAGACATTCGCTGAGCACATTGTCTGTTGAGGCTTTGTCCCTGATGTATTTATGGATCTTAGTTGTTTCGTCCTGGACAGTGGTTCTCACACTCACTAGTCCTCTGCCTCCTTCCTTGCGGCTCGTGTACAGTCTCAGGGTGCTGGATTTGGGATGGAACCCTCCATGCATGGTTAGTAGCTTTCTGGTCTTAATATCTGTGGCTTTTATCTCCTCCTTTGGCCAGCTAATTATTCAGCAGGTATCTGATTACTGGCAGGGCATAGCTGTTTATCGCACGGATTTTGTTCTTGCCATTGAGCTGGCTTCTCAGGACTTGCCTTATTCGTTGGAGGTATTTAGCTGTGGCTCCTTTCCTTGTGGCCTCATCGAGGTTGCCATTTGCTTGTGGTATACTAGGTACTTGTAACTGTCCTCTATGTCTGCTATTGTTCCTTGTGGGAGTGAGACTCCTTCTGTGCGGATCACCTTCCCCCTCTTTGTGATCAGCCGACCACACTTCTCTAGTCCGAATGACATCCCAATGTCCGTACTGTAGATCCTGGTGGTGTGGATCAGTGAGTCGATGTCTCGCTCACACTTGGCGTACAGCTTGATGTCATCCATGTAGAGGAGGTGACTGATGTTGGCCCCATTTTTGAGTCGGTATCCGTAGCCAGTCTTGTTGATAATTTGGCTGAGGGGGTTCAGGCCTATGCAGAACAGTAGCGGGGACAGAGCATCTCCTTGGTATATGCCACATTTGATGGACACTTGTGCAAGTGGTTTGCAGTTGGCTTCAAGGGTGGTTTTCCAGCTTCATCGAGTTTGCAATGAAGGCTCTCAGAGTCCTGTTGATGTTATACATCTCTAAGCATTCAATGATCCAAGTATGCGGCATTGAGTCATAGGCTTTCTTGTAATCGATCCAAGCCATGCACAGGTTTGGTGTGTCGGGTTTTGCAGTCTCGGGCAACTGTGCGGTCTACGAGGAGTTGGTGTTTGGCTCCTCTGGTATTTACACCGATACCCTTCTGTGCCGTGCTCATGTGTTTATCCATGTGTTTGCTTATCTTGGCCGCTATGATGCCTGACATGAGCTTCCAGGTTGTGGAGAGGCAGGTTATTGGTCGGTAGTTGGGTGGGACTGGACCCTTTGATGGATCCTTCTGGATTAGGATTGTCCGCCCTTCAGTTAACCATTCAGGGTGAGTCCCACTTTGTAGCAGCTGGTTCATTTGGGCTGCCAGTCGCTCATGGAGAGCAGTGAGTTTCTTTAGCCAGTAGGCATGGATCATGTCAGGCCCTGGTGCTGTCCAGTTTTTCATGCCTGAGACTCTTTCTTGAACATCTGTCACAGTGATGGTTACCGGGGCTTGCTCAGGGAGGTTGCTGTGGTCCTCTCGTAGAGAGATCAGCCACTGTGCATTGCTGTTGTGGGACGCCTCCCTTTCCCATATGCCTTTCCAGTATTGTTCAGTCTCCAGCCTTGGTGGGTCTGCTCTGTTGTTATTACCCTGCCATTGAGAGTACACCTTAGCTGGTTGAGTGGAGAAGAGCCGGTTAATCCTTCTGGATTCATTCTCCCTTGTGTATCTCTTTAGGCGGCTGGCCAAGGCTTGGAGCCTCTGTTTGGCAGTCTCGAGTGCTTCAGGTATGGGCATCTGCCTGTACTTTCTGGGTACTGGTCTTTTCATTGTACCCTTGTGGAGCTCTGACAGTTGGCTCACTTCCCTCCTTGTTACCTTGATTTTAGCCTCTAACCGTCTTTTCCATGGTGGGTATTGGGTCTCATGGTTGCTCTTATAGTCAAGTATCTCAAGGATCACTGATGCTGAGTTGTAGATCAGCTCATTGGTTTCTGTTATGGTGTTGGTAGGGATCGTTCTCAATGCTGCATTCACATTCTCAATGAGACTTTCAGATGGTACTTCACTCAGCCGTTGTAATTGGCGCCGAGGAGGTCTGGTTGTCATTCGGGTCATGATTCTCACTCTCAGGTCAGCAGCTGTCTCGTTCAGCTCTGTTTCGCTCATTGGGGCCGTGTATCCCCTCACTGGGTGGGGACTTGTAGTTAAGTCCCCACAGTCCTGACATCCAGGTTCCTCCCTTTTGCCGTAGCATTTGTGTTGTATCTCGTCAATCTCAAGTTGTGATAGCAGTTGCCGTTTGCGGATGTTGGAACACTGAGCTACTAGTTGTTTAGCACTTAGTGTTGACTGGGGATGTCGAAGTAACCATTCCTTCCCCAGTCTTTGCATGTAACCTCTCTCACTAGGGTTACTTGAGTAGTAGCATTCCAACAGATCCACATTTTCATCTCTCGCCCATTTCCGTCTTGTTCCAGTAGCCCATTTGTCATCAAGGTGCTCTGGTTCCCCAACACCTGACGCAGACCTTGTTTGGCCGGGCGACGTCTGAGCCGGCATGTTATGCAACTTAGTATCTCTCATGGTATGAGGTAGGCAGTAGCTTGAACATATATACATATATATATATATATAGTAAGGAAGGTTAAAACTTTATTAGATCTTAAGCTTGGTTTTGTGTTTTTGTCCCTGTTTTGGTTTCCCAGGCCAAGATCAGTAGATGCAACATAGCTCGGGGAAAGGCTAGCATCGCCAGATTCGTTGTTTTACTTTCTGTTAATTCTGCTCTTGACAGTTGGTGGTTGCCTTAGCAACCAATATCTATCAGCTGATCCGTTATGTTTTTTTTGTTGTTGGTTATGACACTCACCGCTCACTGCCCAGACATCGCTAAATGCTGTCTGTGCCAGAGCTGGAGGCCAGAAGCTACACAGTTCTTCTGTGAGAACAACTCAGTTTTCGTTATAATTCATCTGTGCTGGAAGGAGTAAAGTTCATGCAAGAGACCCTTCGTTCTCGTCGTGTATCTTCAATTACCGACACGCCTCCGTAACACCGGAAACCAAATATATATATATATATATATATATATATATATTATATATATATATATATATATATATATATATATATATATATATATATATATATATATATATATATATAT